TAAATAAATAAAATGTGGCTTCCTATAAATAATTAAAATGTGGCTACTTTTTTTCTCCACTTGAAACGTCTACAAGCATAGAAAAATATCTTCAAAAATACTCCTTGAAAATCGCATTTTTGTTCTTAAAAAGTACTTTTGCTATCTTAAAATGTATCACAAACCCTGATACTAGCTATTTGTTGAATAAAAGAAAACAATAGAACTTAAGAACGAGGGAACAATAAGCATTGTTTTAATCCTCCAATCACAAGAAATCTTACAAACTCGTGAAGGATAATAGTTCCCATCGACCATTTCCCGACGGACTATTTTTTACGTGCAGGGAATCAAGTTATCATCGATGAGAACCAAAGCCGCTGAGGAGATGGCTGACGAAGGTGATAMCGCARGCGCGGCCATAGTACAAGCCAGAACAAAATTCCTTACACAAGTAAGATATTCTTCGTTTTCACTATGCGTCACAGCGGCCATCTTGGAGGAACTTCAACRAAGGATTTCTCATTAGTATCTATTGTTCATTCCTCCAACATGGCCGCCGGTCTTTTATCTTTTGAATCTCATGGGAATGGTTGAAAGCGATCAATTCCTTTAAAATGGCATTAATAATGCACGAGTTGCACGTCCAATGAGGATTGTCTGTTAGGTCAGGTGATTGATTTACTATCGCGTGCAACCTGCGTAAGTCATCTTTATAACATGGCTACAACTGTCGTAGGGATTTCAAACAATTGCTTAATAGATAGCCCCACGACAGTTGTAGCCATGTTGTAAGGTTGACTTACGCAGGTTGCATGCGATGGATGTAAGCAAAAGTTGTGTCGTCTAATTCGGTCTTAATACCAGCAACCAATTGTACTGTGATTGGATGAAATTTTTTATAGGATATATATATTTTTAAACTGGTTGATAGCTCCATTCGACCCTCGTACAATTATTCCATGTGCTGCATTAGATTTACAACGAAAAAATTGTGGAAAAAAAAGAGAACAGAAAAAAGTGGGAAATGATGAAATGAATGATTTGTTTGTTTTCAWTAAGGTGTTGAAAAAGAACATGATTGAAAACATCGTACCGATCATCGTTGAGCTGAAGCACATGGTATGTATGCAACTGAACTCTTCCTTAATTACTTTCTCCCTCTCCGATCTCTCCTTTCCTTTTCCCACTCCATGTATTCCTTCTTCATATAATATGCATGGTATATCCTCATTCCCTTCACTCTTTCATTCCTACGTCCCTTCTTTCATTTTTTCCCTCCCTCCCCTCCCTCACTACCTTAACACCTTTATTCACTCTTTCCTTCGTCCGTTACTTCATTCTTTCTTTCCCTCCCTCACTACCTTCCCGTTTTCCTTTCCTTTCCTTCCCTGTCCTCGTTTCCTCTTCTTTYCTTCATTCCTCTCTTCCCTGCCTCCTACCCTACCCCATCACTTCCTTGCTTCTTTCGCTCCTTATTCCGTTTCTTCCTTTCATTTCTTCTTCAACCCCCACTCCTTCAGCCCCTTCCTTTCATCTGTAGTCCACCTTCCCCCACTTTCCATCAACCTTCCCAATATTTCCTCTGGTATAAAGAAGGAATTTTACCAATCCTTTTCGAATTATTTCAGTTCGAAAAGGAACGCTCACCCCTTCTCAAAGACCTGCTTGGATACCTCAAAGAAGTCATGAAAGACTACCGCAACGAAGTCAAAGGTGCGATAGAAAAATATCATTATTTGTTTCTTGGTAATATGTTCATTATACTACAGTCTCTATTAAGCGGTCAACTTGGGGAATCAGACCGGATGGCCGCTTAATATAGGTTGACCGTTTAAAAGAGGTCATGTTTACGGTAAATATATCAGAATGACTTTTTTGGGAACTTATAGATGACCGCTTTTAATAGAAGTTGACCGATTAATAGARGTCATGTTTACAGTAAATATATATGAGAATCGACTCTTTGAAAATTCATGAGTGGTCGCTTAATGGAGGGTGACCGCCTAATAGAGGTTGGCCGTTTAAAAGAGGTCATATTTACAGTAWGAATATATGAGAATCGACGATTGGGTAATTCATGAGTGACCGCTAAATGGAGGTTGACCRTTAAATAGGGGYTCCACTGTTTAACTATTGATTTTTTGCCTTCCTCCTTGTTACCCTCCACAGAGGTTCTGTCCGCTGACAATCAGCTGGCYAATGAGATYGAGTTTGATTTGCGTAAATTTGAAGAAGAACAGAAAGAACTTCAGGAGCAAAAGAAGCGAAGTCAACAAGAAACAGCAATGGTAGGAATACACCTTTTCAGTTGCACTTAGGCCTCGATAGCAAGTTAATTATTCTTTTGAATTTGACAAATGAGACTATTCATATCAATGTTTGCATTGTTCACATTCCTACAAATTTTCCGCTTTTGTTTTTCTTTTGCAAAAAATAGAAATAGTTGTGTCCTTTTTTACAAAGAAAACACAAAAATGGCTTTTAGTTTAAGATTTTTTTAGAGGGCTAGGACAACGGCGATGACTTAACTACCATCATGCTTTATTGTACAATATGGCGTCGATTCCCTTTGATTATTGTTATGCATCGAAACTGCCTTCCCTCATGATCTATACTCCCGGGACTTGTCGGAAAGCACGGATTTGAACAAATATTGATTCATGTTGTTATTAAATTGTCTCCAGACTCCAGGAACTAAATCCGGTTATCAGAGTCCGAGAGGGAATCAGTCCAAGTTCATTACTCCGCCTTTGAGTTCAGGAAATGGGATTAGTAAGTAAATACAATGTTATTACAAACAAGAGAATTACTAAATGAAAATACCACGGAAATACAGCAAAATTGTTATCAAAATTACAAACCTTGTATTTGGAAGCTGAATGCTTTCTTGAAAGCTCCAGTGATCATGGTTAATAATGGCACTTTCAGAAATGCATAGCAAAGAATTTATAGTAGTCTTCCTAAGTGCTATTTTTTTATCTTTGTTTCCAGCGAAAACACCAATTCCACCATCGTCCTGCTCACGAGCAAGACGCACAGCGGAGCTTCCGAAAACGCCCATGCGTAGTAGGCGTCATACTCTAGCAACGGCTGCATTGATTAACTCGGCTCGTAAAGCCATGAACCAAGCAAGTAGACTCACCAACGACAAGAGACCTAAATCATCAAGTCATGTGTCGAACTTGTCGTGTAGCGAGCCGAAGCCGAGTCAGTCTATCAAATCACGCTCTCCACTGACAGAGCAAAATCCTTCGCATGATACAAGCGATGAGGTAAGAATACAAAAAGTAAAAAATCTACTTAGTGACGTCACTCCCGCTTTGTCTCCCAAGCATTTATCTTTAACCAACCTACTTCCCTTTTTAGACATATTGATTGCTTTGACATTAAAGGATTTAGAAAATTTCATCTTGAAGTAATAGATCTAGGTATAAACTAAAATCCTTAGTCCTTTATGCACACAAAAACATGCAGTTTATTGAGAAAACTAGTTTCTTCTTACGACCTTATCAGTTCTAAAGTAAACCGACTTCCCTTACGAACCTTTGCTTATGTTTTGTAATAATATAAAGTTAGTCTTCTCATCGCTTTGTGCTCTGTGAATGGAGATATTGTAAGACTCCCTATTGGAAACCAGTAACCAGTTCTGTTTCGCTATTTTCTAGCTATAGCTAGTCAACGGGAACTTATACTACCCCATATCGAACATACAGGAAGTCTCTTAGTGGTGCAGTACAAACTTTCTTTTCAACATCAGAGTTATCTGCGGATGTGAGGGGATTTCTCGTTTGCAATATACGTCACAGCGGCCATTTTTGTTGAACTTCAGAAAAGGATTTCTCATTAGTATCTACATACAACATGGCCGCCGATCCTTTGTCTTTGGAATCTAATATTTAAACTTCTTTATATACATATTCAAAGGACCACATTGAATGCCTGTTATTAATGAACTTTTAATGACTCTTTAAAGGATTTCTCATTAGTATCTATTGTTTATACCTTCAACATGGCCGCCGGTCTTTTGTCTTTTGAATCTAATAACTTAAGTTCTGTATAGACCCCTTGCAGTTCATGGGAATGCGGCTCCAACTGGAGGACAAAACAATGGATTCTAGTTCCCAAGAGGTTAAAAATCTTTTGTTTTGTCCTCCAGATGAAGCTGCTTTGACGTCACATGCAAGTGGTCTATATGCACCTTCAAACGACGACCGCATTGCATGCCTGTTATTAATAACCCTTTCATGAATCTTTACAGGCATTCGTGAATGACAAGAACACTTTCAAGACGCCAATCAAGAAGTCAAAGGCCTCCCGTGCAGCCAGCACCCCAGAAGGCAATCTCACTCACATGTCATCGATATCATTCTGTATGAATGCTAGTGCCATTCCCCCCTCGCCTATACCGACGTCACTTCCTATTAGAATCTACCCGAAAGGAAAAGGTTGGAATTACTTTCACTCGTGATTTGCCATGGTTTACTTACAAGTGATGTCAGTGGTGCATTTCTTTCTTGTACAAAAAATCAAAATAAATAAATTATACATTATTTTAAGGATATTTCAATTTGTTTTCATTATTTGACCGATTAGTATGTTTATACTAAAATAATTAGACCTCTCGGCCTCGTGGACTACGAGCTAATAGCCCATTCGGCCTCCCGGACTCGGCCTCATGGGCTATTAGCTCATAGTCCACTCGACCTCGTGGTCTAATTGTTAATTAATGGTCAAGTTTTGTTTCACGGGTTTGATGACCTCACACTATCTCTACTCATGGAAGTAAATATTGCGATGTATTCTTGTTTCAAAGCATGAGCAAATACTAAAGGATGCCGTTTGAACACGGCTAAAATGTTAGAATCATCAATACATTATAGATAGTTTATTTTGTTTTATGCATGTTATTATTAGATGCACAGCCCAGTTTGATATCCAAGAAGGGTGTGGATGATGATGGCGAGGAAAAACAAGAGGA